TTGGGTGCCACATAGCACTCGTAGGCAACTCGGGGCCGGTGCTGGTCCCCGGTTTATGGAAGCTGATTGCATGCAAGCATTAAATGCGCAATACAAGCACCAAGCTATATATAATAAATATTTCAGATTGAATATATAAGGATAAACAATGGACAGAGGCTTGTTGAACGCTTGCCCAAGTTATAATTAGAAACTACATTAGTTATTACGTTTGCTCGAATACGATCATATTTGAGTTTGGTCTTGCTGCAATACATATACTTTTGACCATGATGAGCAATCATTTAAGATAATCCCGTAATTGACTGATGTTTGCTATGTAAATAGAAGGCGTGCACAATGGTAAGACAGGCTCCTTCAGGCTTGGCCTATCGCTTGCGTCTGTGTAATTTTGCGTGTGTGTCGGTCGAAGGTGTGTGGGTGTGTGTGTGTGCCACGTAAGGAAGCAAAGACAACAACTCTCGGCTGGAGCAGTGATTTGCAATGCCCTGTGACAAGGGAACGGACAATTTTGCAAATTTCCAAATTGCACTCGGTTTGGCTTGCTCGGGTTGAAAATGATGTCGCTTGGTTTACCACACTGCCAACAATTTTGGGGTAAATGTCAATTGGTGCAGGTGGAGGCGAGCAGAGGACATGTTGCATCACTTTGAGGGCCAATTTGATTTCAGAGTTGTATGCATTTGTAATGGCTGTCCTTGTGGCAACTTCGGCTTTGCAAGTTAGTGTCGATGCCATTGGCAACCATTGAAATAGATATATTTATATATATATATATATATATATATATAAATGTATTCAATGGTCAAGTAGACTAATATATTACTGACTAGATATATTACTGAGACAATATTACAAAGTTTATGCACAGTCTAATCAACTAATATAAATTATGTGGTCAGATCAATAAGTGCCTACGAGTAGGCAATAATTTTTTAAACAAATATGTGAAATGACTTTAATTGCTGTAAAGAAGAGATTAGTTTAGTCGCATTAACTTAGCAAGCACTAATAAAATCCAATTTAATGCGCTTTGTTGTTCATGTTCAAACTAATTTAAATCAAATACTTTGCACTTGCGTGTTTATACATATTGTAACGTATAATTCGCAGAGCACAGGAATTCGTAATTAATAAACGTGAATGTGCATATCGTTTATAAGAGCACATAACTGCCGGAATGTGTTTGCTTCTGTGGCTGCTGTGTTGATTTAGAGACTTGGCACGTTTTCCAGCTTCAAAACCTTTGCATGGACTGACAGTTGCAATTATGTGAGCCTGTTTAAAGCTCTGGCAATCCCAGATGAGTTGCCTAGCTATGCAACAATAGGTAGACCACATAGAGCTTCTTATCGAAAAGTCGAGCATGATTATAGCTTGACTGGCTTACTAACATAAGCAATAACACTGCACAACAAAGAAAAGGGTTTTGCATATGAAATATTTTTCAATTAAATCTGGGGACTTAATACTAATAAATAGTAAATTTATATAAATAATATATTTGCCTAGTATAATTTTTTTTAAATTATGTGAAAAGGGCTTATAAAAAAGAACTGTTAAGAATCATTTGACTTCAGTCTAGCAGCCCTAAACAGTTCAATTTTGTTGAATAGCATAATTGTTAGTTTTTATCAGCAGTCAGAGCAGAGCAGCAGACTCGAATTAAACCGACTGGCTGAAGAGCACTTTTCCGACTGAATTGCGCAGATTTATGATGACGAGGTTTAAATTTTGCCAAATCAAATGTATACAACGGATGCGGGGCTTGTCAACTTATCAACAGCAATAACAATAACAACAACAACAAGGACAACAGCTAGCGAGGCAAGGACGATTCGTACAACATTTTAGTCATTATAAATGTCATCAAGCATTATTTTTTCCATCAACTGTCGCCAGTTTCTGGCGAAATGTTAATGGCTTTTTCGGTGGGCTGAGCAAGGGGAATGGGGAGGGGGAGGGGGAAGCAGCGGCGGATTAAACTACTTGACAGTGGGCATTAATGCTGAAACTGAAACAGAAACACAATGTACTGCAGGGCAAGACATTTTTAATGAAACAAAATTAAGCGGGAAATTGAAACCGGGCAGCGTGTTAATGAGAAAGCTATGTAATTACACTCCATGGCATTAACGAGTCACTAAGTTGTTCCAAAGAACACTTTATTACATTTCATAACACACATAATCATAAACGAGACTATAATTATGTACCTGTCATAAATATCATTCTAATACAACCTACAACTAAAGCTGTAGGCAGTTGAGTTGCCCATGTGAAAGTCATTAAATTAGCTGCAGGACGCCTTTTCGGATTATAGTTACAAAAGAGTATTGTCTTAGTCGAACTTCAGAGCTCTCAGTGAAATTCCAAAAAAAGTTAGGTTTCAGGTGTTTGAGTCTAGCTGCTTCTGGTTGTCTTTTCTTTAAATCAGTCATAAAAGCTGAACCGCATCAATAATTTATTTGCTTAAGCTTTCAATTGGAATGACTTAAAAGTTCTGTCACATACTTAAATTAAATATATAGTCTTTCGCTTAAGGCTATTTGATTTAGCAGAACACTAACTGGAGAACGAGGCACAACAATTAGTGCCTCTTTGATGCTGAGGAAAAGCCGGCTGCAACAATAATAAACAATCGGCAGGCAAGTGGAGAGAGAGTAGAAGGTCAGAGAAGCTTAATGCCAAATGGAAGCTATCAAGACAAAAACCTTAACTCCTCGTGTAAACAACAAAAACATTGTTATCAGACATTGATGGCGTCGGCGCCATCAAGGCTCATAACAGGCAAACCAAGGAACGTTAGCCGAGATTGGAATTGGCCGTCTTATTGGGCTGGTGTGGGAGTTTCCATCTCAAAATTTAAGCAAGTTTCAATGGACTGTAAATGAATAGAATTTACTTGGCCCACAGCTAAGTATGCGGACTGTTGTTCTCTACACAAGTGCCAATGTTTGGCTCTATTTGTGCTCTAGGCTTCTGTGGGAAAGCCAGCAGCAGCCTGCAGTTTTCTTGCTCAAGTGGCAAAAGTAGTTGAAAATAAATAAAAGCGTTCGCGCTAAAAGACCAAGCAGCAGAAGTACGCTTTCTGCAAAAACAAAACAAAAAAACTTTAGTGAACTTTCTTATGTTAGCTGAATTTTGATTTACGACCACTTAACGTTTTTTATGGCTCCCGACAACAGAATGCGTTTGTGTCCATCTCAGCACTAATGTCTACAGATACATAAATTGGATCCCAGCGTTTCTGCTTAGAACATTATTTCCAGCAGGGCTTTAAGCAGTTGCTCGGCTTGTATGTCTTCCATGTAAGTAGTTTTTCATTTTGAGTTGAACGAAGTCAAATAATGAGATTAACTAGTTAATACTCGGCTTATAGAACGAAATAATCGAAACAAATTGAAGGAAACGAGCCCAGTGACTTTTCGACTGACAAATATCTATTTTTATACAGAGTCGATTTATCACAGTGACACAGGCGATTAATCAGATACGATTGATCTATAGTTGTAGAAACATTGAGCAGAACTTGGAAGGCTAAAATTGATACTTAAAATAATGAGCAAATGGAATTAATTTCACAGAATATTATATATCTAATAGTCAGATCAAGATTACGCAGATAGTCTATATAAAGTCTACATATCAACAACAATTTACAACTATTTCCTATACGTGACTGAACATGTTTAGATATTGGCTCACTATTGATAATTATGTTGGACATAGCTCGAACGACTGTAAAAGAAAGTTACACAAAATTTACTGTATAGAGTTCAAAGTATCTGCATGCAGACTTTGCATATTTCACATTCTCAACATCGTTGCAAAGTCTTAAATACTGGATGCTTAAGGTCTTGGGGCATATACGCAGTTGGGTGCCATATTTCTTCACTGGAAATTATATAAAGATCGTACTAAAAACACAAAAGTTAAAATCTCATTTCTCATGTTGCAAAAGCAAGCACAGCTGCAGCATGAAATCCGCATTAAACGGCAAGCGTGCGTGCTTTTGTGTGGGTGGGCACATACATATACACAAAGTATGTAAGTGTGTGTGTGTGAGTGTGTATTTAAAAGAGCAGCACCTTTTCTAGACAGATATTCTGGACTGAAAGCTCTCATATTTTTAAAATACCTCTCCTTGCCTATATGCTATTCGGGTGCTTTATTATTTATAAATGAAATATTATATTTATTGCGGCTCATAATGGGCAAGCGACAAAGGATCTCGCCAATTGCCTCTGTGCCAAGGCCAGATTTAAACTGAATTATTTTAAGAGTTAAGAGCGAAACACACGTTAAATGATATTTATTTCAATTTTATTTATGGAAATGCAAGTATACGATGCTAACGTTGCTTTCCTAATTTTAATAAGAACGATTATGCTTGTATTTCTGTATATTTCAATTATGTTTGTGCTTGGGTGTGTGTGTAGGTGTATAGGTGTGTGTGTGTAGATACACATTAAATACATTTTATTTTTTGTTGTTTGCTTTTGGTTTATCCTGTAATATTAAATGCGAACACACATTGCACATTTGCGAGATAATAAATATTTTGCATTCATGTTTTTACTTAGTGGCAGATAATTTAAAGTTGCGGGATCTGGTTTGAGCGTTGGTTGCAAATAACTGTATTTCATTTGCTATTATTGTATAATTGATGACGACAATAATATCTCGTTCTAATACACTTGCTAAGTGCCAGCGATTCGCTCGCCTGGCAAATGGCCAAAAAAGGCCTCGTTGAGCCATTTTTTTTCTGGTCAAAAACTAAACGAATTTCTAATTTACAATTTTATTTTTGGTTTTAATTTTCGGCCCTGTCGTTCTGAAAGTTAATTAGATTTTCAAAATACAGGCATAGTGAATTCATTAAGCACTCGTGCTTTACTGCAATTACGGGGTATTTCAATTATTCCGTGCATGCCATGGCCGCAAAAAAAATATAATATTTTTTTTGTATTTGGTATTTACTGTCTCTGTTTATATGATAATCTTTATTTTAATTTTTTTTTTGCATTTCTTTACAATTAATATTTAATTTAAATATAATATTTAAACAGAAATAAGCACTGGCCACGGACACGTACGCCCCCAATTCAGTTTAATTAATCGCAACCTCTGAATAAATCGTGAAACCCACATCCATATATCTGTGCCAATGCTTCAGTTAAATACGAGTATAAATTTCTTTTCTACGTGAACGTATTTAGTTATATTACATGCTTATTGTTATGCTGCTAGGGGATTTGCTTGTTAATTCGTCATTTTGATTGCTGTTAAGCCAATGCTACATTGCTTTGGCTTCCAGTTAAAATATTATTTACCCCTTTGCTAATGAGCAAATGAAGGCTCGTCGGCTGCAGTGACAGACAACTACTGCCAAGCGTCTGTCTACTGCAAAAGACCACTGACTGCAAAGGTGGTTGCCATTGTTGTGGCTGCGGCTGTGGCTGTGGCTGCCATTGCCATGTGGCTCACTTCTGTTTCGTTTGCGATGGTTTCCAGCTGGTGCCAGAGCTGCGCACCCGTGGACGTTGCCTTCTCAGTGTGATTGGGGCTGGCCCCCTCCACAAGATGCGACGTCGCTACGGGCTCATCGCGGCGCGTTCTCAACGCCTGCGGCAGTGGTCACGACGACATGTAGGTGCATTGTGTTTTTGGCTGTGGCTCCGACAGCTCGATGGGTTGGATGGCGGCGCGCTTCCAGTAGTCGCGGACCGTTTCGACGGTCTCCATGATGCGCAAAAAGTTACGGCCAGCTAGCATGGCAACGTCCTCCTCACTCCAGTTGTGATCCTCTAACAGGGCGGCCAAGAGCTCCGGGTATTTGGATACGTCCTCCAGGCCCAGCGGGGGCATCTCAATGCCGTCGTAGCCGGCGCCCAGGCCAATGTGCTGAATGCCGGCAATTGCTCGCACGTATTTAATATGCTCTATTACGTCCTGCAGCCGTGCTTGACGTCCGCAAGCGACATCCTCGGGGTCGAATGAGAGCATAATGAGACCGCCGTTCTCGGCCACCAAGCGCAATATATCATCGGGCACGTTCCTCGTCGAGTTGCACAGCTGTCGTGCCGCCGAGTGTGAGAAGATGACGGGAGCTCGCGTCACCTGGAGCACATCACGGGCCGTTGCGTCCGAGCTGTGTGAGAGATCGATCATCATGCCCAGGCGGTTCATTTCCCGCACAATCGCTTTGCCGAAGGGTGTCAGGCCCTGCTCCAGCGGAGAGGCACTCGACCCCGCCCAGGATACGTCGCAGCGGTGCGTCAGGCTGAGATAGCGCGCGCCCAGCGAGTAAAATGAGCGCAGCACGCCCAGCGAAGAGCCAATTGTGTGCCCTCCCTCAATGCCGATCAGCGAGGCCAGCAGGCCGCGCCTGTGCGTGGCCACAATGTCCTGCGACGACGTCGCCAACACCGTATCTCTAGCATACATGTCAGACAGCCGCCGCACAATGTCTATTTGCTCCAGTGCCAGCTGGACAGCATCCAAGCCTTGCGCCTCACAAGGCACGTACGCCGACCTGAAATGAAACGCAACAAAAATATAAAACATAAATAAACTTAAGTTCTTTTGGCCTCTCTGGTCGCAAGGCAAAGGGTTGAGTAATTGAAAAACTTCTAAATTTATAAGCTTAAGAAGGCGGCACGAAGTATGCTATCTTTTATATTTATAATCAATTCGGAGAAACGAGTTTAAAAAACCTCAAATCACGTTTTTAATTTTTTTACTTAAGCTGCAACGAGATGTAGCCACTGAACCTTTGACCCGTGTTTGCCCACCAGAAACTCATGAAAATTTTCATATTTGAGTGACACTTCTTAGAGGTCCTTGATCTTACAGTTTGGACCATCGCCAGTAGGTAGGCTTGGTATACATTAATTAACTGTCATTAGAAGTATTCGTAAAACGATGTAAGATCCCCAATATTTATTCAGTTGTCCGACTGAGAGCATATAGTTCAAATTGCAAAGTAAATTAAAAACAAAATTTTGAATTAAAAGAGACAGAAAATAAATATAAAAATTCAACGACATACGAAATCACACAGATAAAGCATGTTTTGATATTAAGTTCTTTTACTTTTCTAAAAAAAAATAAAATATTGTGGATAATTATAAAGTTCTAAACAATCAGCGTTTTTCAAGATGCATAAAGTTTGGTCACGTGCAGAGCCGACTCGCGAATGCAAGGATACCCATGACATTTTTCCCAAGGATTTGTTAAAGCAGCAACCGAGCACTTTTGTGCCATCTTACGAAAAGGATGAACCAGCGATGAGCCTATTGCTGGGCTGGGAATATGGCCGACTATGGCTAAAGGAGCACAAGGAGGTAATAAAACAGCAGGTGTCCAAGGCAAAACCATATTATGTTGAGCCCGACTTTAACTGGTGGGTAAATAAGCGCACTGTAGTCTTAGATCGGCGCCAGATATTCTCGAAGAAGAAGCAAAACCCACATGCAAAAAACTGTAATTTGTCGGCATTTGCCCTCTCGAAAGTAAATCGGACCAAGGGTAAGAACAAAGAAATTGGAGCTCAGGGATCGTCGGATTTGAAACCTGCCGCCGCTGCGGATGCCGTTTTAATGCCCACCAACACTGCGAACCCCAAAACTTGCGACTGCAGGGACTGCAAGGAAAGAAATACTGGTGGCCAAGCTACTAAGAAAAATGTGTATAACTATGAGGAACGCAAGGCTACACCCGTGCCTTGGTATTGAAATTAATAACGTAATCAAACACAATCAGTTCATACGCTCGAAGGCTTAATCTGTATTAGGTGATTCACAGCGAAATATTATAATATTTTATGCTCATTTTGCAGGCGTATTAAAAGGAAATATTTAAATATTTATTTCTAATGCTTGTTTTATTATAACCTTCGCCGTTTATTATTCTCATTAGTGAGTGGGGCGCGCCTCGAGAATGCGCTGCACGCTACCCGGCTCTTTGCACGCCCCATTATTATGCAGCTGGCATGCTTGCCATAAAAGTGGTTAGTTTAGGGCACATTTGAATTTTAAATGCAAGGATATTGCACTAAGGAAGCCCAGTGGAAACTTCTATGGCCAACCAAATGGCCATGTTCGCTCGCGTTAGTGGGAGCTGCGACGGCATTTCGGTGGAAAATTGAACAATGACGACCAGCAGAGTAAGTTCGAAAATGGCCCCGAGTTGCGCTTTATTTGACGGAACGGCCAAAAGAGTTTTCGGTGTCAGAAGTCTACGAAATAAAATCGAGTGGATTGCCCATCAGCAGTTTTCCCAAACTGCAGCTGTCTGCTGGCTGTCATGCGCCACGCCTTCGTTTGCAGCCCGCCCCTGGCCATTTGAATTGTTTCGCTTTTGTTGCTGGCCTGGGCGTGGGTCTGGCCTGGCATTCGGATAGGCATTTGGGCCGGGTGCTAAAGACTGCCTGGCAGCTGGGCCAGGTTGGCTGCTTGCCCTGCCGCCGCACTGTTTGGCTGCTGCCAAATTTTATTTTGCAGTCAAATTGTTGGCATCTCCGCAGCGTGCTCGTGGGTGGGCAAATGGGCGCATGATTGTATCGATGCTGTGCGCCCAGTGCTAGGTAATTGTTATGGGTGGATGTCAAACATGCCTGAATGTTTGTTATCGTCTGCTATCTGTTAAAACATCGAAAAACAACTAAAATTCTCTCTCCCTCGACTGCCTGACCTGCAGCATGTTACAAGCATTGAAACAATGATGGCATATAAAAACTATATAGACATGTAGAAGACTCCTTCCCTTTTTATATTACCCTATACTAGGGGAAGCGTTTAAAGAGCTGCTATTTACGTTTTTAATTGACTGTTTGGGGATTGGAGAGCTACTATTAAAGGGAATTAATTTTATTATTTTGCTCTATTCTATAACTTGTAAATAAAGTAAGTACTCAAGCAGCATTAAACAGGGCCAAGCATTAAAGTCGAAGAACAATTGTCTCTTGCATTTAGTGTGCTGATAGCTACAAGACTTTGGCTATATCAAATCAACGTTTGATCGTGATCAAAGAGTTTTCAAATTAATATTTACTGAATGTTCAAATATTCTCAGCAAATAAAAATGAATAAAAATTGATAAGCATTCAGAGTTAAAGCTCTGGCAATTATTGAAATAAAGTATTTGGGTAAATAAATACTTACCAAACCTGCACACCGACCAGTCCTTGCTTGAGCCGTTCCATATCCGTTTGCGCCCAGGTGGGCCGCACCCACATCGACTTGTGATCAAGGTCATGGCTGAGATGAACCAGCTCTAGACTACTATGCGCATACTTGCGCACGTTCCAGGCAAAGTTGTTGTGCCCGTCGACGAGCGGCACTTCTCGCAGGATGCGCCTAACGATTCGAAGTCGTTGGGCGTGAGAGTTGCGACTGGGCGACATAAAAAAGTGTTGGTAGGCCAGTGTGGCGGCTATGGCCAGCAGACAGATGGCGCTCACGAGAGTCAGAGCCACCATCCAGGAGCCTCGTCGCGACTTGTGGGCTGCACCTGAGTTGTTTCGTGTCTTTCTGGCACTCTTAGCCTTCGCCTTGGAGGAGGAAGCGGCTGCCGCTGTCGCTTCCGCTGCCAGAGAGGTGGGCGATTTACTGTCGAGAGCGATCCCTCCGATATCGCTGCCAACAACTACTCCGGCTGTCATCGCACTGCCAAAGACCTTAGATTTCTGGATGCTGGCAATTTCGCCGCCGGAATCGCTGTTGGAGATCGAGTTCTGGCGCGAGAGTGTGCGGCGTATATTCGAGTGCTCCGTCACGTCTGGCAGTCCGCCAAAGCCAGTTGTCTGCAATAAAAGTGAATAGGCAAAAGGGTCGTGCGTTATTTTACTGCTTTTTATTGGAGCTATTACCTGGCAGCATAAGGCGCTGCCTCCCCGTCTAGCCCACGCCAAGCATCTGCTCCAAACTTGCTTCATTAAAAGTCCGTCAAAGTTTCTCCGTTGATTTTACGTTCTAATTAAAACTGTTGCGAACTTTGAACTTTTTGTAATATTCATAGCTGCCATGAAACATCAACACGGCTCAATCTGAAACTTTTTAATGAACCAAGTGACCAAATCAAAATCAATGTATCCAAAGCATTCAATCTGATACAGCCAGGCGCAGCCTGTTAGGCAAATCTTTGCTCTAACATCATTTAGCCTCAGCAATAATTCATATGTGGGCCGCATTAATTGATCCCATCACCCAAAGGGCAAAACTTTGCCCAAAGTTTATCATTAAGTTACCACCGAGCTGTCAATGCTTTGATTATAATGTCACTCTGCAGGAATTATTAACAGAACGGATTCAATTCTCATGAGCATTGTAATTATTATCTTCGATACACAGAAATATCCTAAATGATAGTCATGATGTGCATTCGTTTGTATAATTGAAATGAGCACACGATTGTGCTGTGAAATCCTTTTATCTATAATTAAATGCAATTACGTAATCCCTACATATTTATTTAGCTCTGAATTAATGTCATATTAACCATATATTATAGCCACGCAAAGTGTTTATTTATCGTTATGCTGTTTCTGTGTCTCTTTTTTATTATTTTTTATTTGTTATTTTTTTGTCTCGCTTCCATTTGCTATACGCGTAATGAGTTGAATGTGAGAGCAACCGAACTCCCTGGTGAATTTTATAATGCAACTTTGCAGTCCGCTTTACGAGTTCCAATATCTTTATCGAAGCTCAGTTTCTCAACTTATTCCATAGCTTTCTCTAGCAATGAACTTTCAAAAGTGGCGAAAGTAGAACATTAAGGAACGTTTAAATACATTGTTGACAGTATTCAACTAAGTAAAATTTCACAATAAAATACTTTTTTTAGTCTTTGGTCTCGTTAACCTGGTTTCACTCACTTTAACTGCTATGAGCTCGTTGTTCTGGATTTATCTACAAATTTTCAGTTTTGCTCATGATTAATGTATGCAGGGTATTTAAAAATGCTTAAAGTGGGTAAACATTTTTTTATTGGCCAGTGGAAAATTAATTAAATAAAATATAAATGTCTTCCACACCCAATGAACTGCGGAATGCAGCCGAACGCCTGATACATTTGAAACTATTTTTAATTATGAGCTGCGCCTGCATCCGACGGCGAAATTAACTTTTATTAATACTGGCGAAACTTTCGACATTGCATTGAAAGTAATAACAAGAAGGAATTCTGCTCTCAGTTTCTCCCAACTGCAACATACTCTATGCCAAGTACAACACAGCTGAGCTTACTCAAGAACAAATTCTTTGCAAAATAACTTAAAATTTCTATAGCCCATAATATAGTAAGCTCATTTATTTTCACTACAAATTATGTATAAATTCAGACCGAGCTAAATAGATTACAGTAAAACCATAATTACAAAATATTGCTCGAAAACAGGGTAACCTTCAACTGAGGCTGGCGCAAGTTTAGGCAAAAAGAGCGAGAAAATTATCTCAATTTTTAATAAAAATGCAAATATTTTCCACACTTCAGATGGCAACGATGCATTGAATACTCTGTACTGCTCATTTCTTGCCCACTCAAGTGGACATTAAAAGCTTGAATGCTGAGTCTTAAATAGTTTCTCACGCAGCGTGAAATTGTTTCTGATTTTAAAGGGGAAAATACATAAAAAACAAGTAAATTCTTTTTATATTAACTTAATTTGCAAATATCTGATAGTGTTACAGGGTATTTGAAAATTTAATAACTTTTGCAACCGCCTTTATTTTAAGGGTGCATCATTATACGCGTTCACAATTTTGGCAGAGTCTATTAGTGTTTGAGTCTTGACATTTCGAAGTTGCCAGTTGACTCTTGGGTCATGACTACGGGAACCTTATATACTGCCAGAACACTAGACATGGCTACAGCTATGTAGATGTGATGCATGCTATAGGCGAGTATTGTACAGTCAGTACGAAGCTCTTATTGTATTTATACAGCTGCAAGTATTTCGTGCCGTGTGCCAATCCGAAAGTTTTCCGTTGTCGGCGCAACCACGAATTTTCAGCTGGAACTGAGAGAATGGAGTGGAAGAGTGAAGGGAAATCGTCCGTTAACCGGAAAGCAGCTTTAGCCGCATTTCGCACTGAATACCCCTGTGAGGCGGAGGCGGCGGCGGCGGCGGCGGAGGTGTTGGTGTTGTTTAAAAATGAGTGGGCTGGTGGCAGGCAATGGCCCTGTGGCGCTGTGGCAGCAGGTGGCAGTATTTGGGGCATGTTCGACATTTTGGCTGAACTTTGCTGTGGTTGAGCTCTGCCGAGTTTATAGTAATTTTTAATTAGTTCAATTGGAGCTTGAAGTAATTTTTCCAAAGCTCTTCAAAAAGTCAGTTTGCAAATTCAATAAAACTGAAAATATAAACAGGCTCTAATGCCAATGATTGAAGTAGCTTCCTGTTGAAAAGTTTAGTCTAACTTAGTAAGCTGAATAGAGTACACAAAATTACGTGTTCTTCCATTATTTATAGTAAACTTTGATCTAGCTACGAGATTTAATTGAAATATATGGAATCAACATGCTGAGGGATCGCGACAACCAACAAGATTTCGATGACTGCTCCGACATACCCATTGCCCAACGACCACAGTCGGATATGGATGCGGATGTAGAGTCTGGCGACGAAACAAACGATTTTTTGGACTTGCCACAAATAAACATAGATCTTTTTAATATAATTAGAACCATCGATATCGACAGGGAAGTTTCTGCCGAAACATGGGCAATCATTGAGGCCCTAATAGAGCAGTAAGCAGCTCAACTTGACATGCAACACTAGAGCCAACATTAATTTCAAAATAAATATATTTGGGCTGATTAATGCAAAAGATTTGATTGATACAATTGGAAAATTTAACGATTTAACATTGGCAATTGGAGTTAAATTTATTTTATTTTTTTAAGCTTTGGCAGAATTTTAAATTTGGGAATTTTGAGATCCCATTGAGATTACAGTTATTTGGACATACTTTCCATTTCATAATGTGAATATATAATATATTTGTTTGAAACAAATTAAAGAGACCATATATTACATCACAATTTAAAATGCGAGGCGTGAAATTTAACTTTTCCTCCAGTTAGATAAGAGCAGATTTTTGTTGCTTTAAATAAAAACGAGACTGATTAAGCGGTAAGTGCCTACACTTGTCTAACACAAAGGACATTTGATGCAGATGATAATTTTTACCCTCCCATGTCGCTCAATGAGCATTCAACTATCACATTTTGAATATAGCAAAAGAGCAGCCTCCCAGTCTTAAGGTACATGACTAAAATACGCAATTTCAGCAGAAGTTGCATAGAAAGAAGTGTAATAAGAGTGTTGCCCTCGGCTGCGGCCAACTACGTAATGCTCGTTCAGGGTACATAAACAATTGAATAGGCAGACCATATATTAGCTAGGTCTTTGTGTGGGCTGGGTGATCGACGTACCGCATAATGCCAATTTAGGTGCAAAAATTTGATATATATAGTTTTTTTTCTGATTTGCGACATCTTCAGTAGACGTAAGTAAATCAAATTTGTTTAATAATATGAGAGAGGCCACACAAATCTTTATACAAAATAATGTCAGATGACCAACGAGTAATAAAGCCAAATTTGAAGTCTGGCAAACTCGTTTGCTTTCAGACGGAAAGATGGATGGAGAGAACTCATATACTCTTTTCAGTTCATGAACGAGTATAATCAACAGAGCTGAGCGACAGGCGGTAGTCACATGCCACAAAAGACGGCTAGCAAAAGGGGAGCATCAGAACCGGAGCAGCGAAACAGGAATAGGAACAAGGACAACAACAAATGGCAGCTGTAACAAGTAAAGCAAAGAATAAACAAAAAAACAGAGCGGAAAGCTTTTTAGTTTCCCGTTGTATTTTCTTTCGGTTTTTGTTTTAGATGCAGCTCTTTTCAGAAAACAATTTCGTATGCCCTGTCTACCCTGCTGGGCAGCTACACACTTATTTACATATTTGAAATAGTACCTCCTAAGGACCAACAGCATTCAGAATGCAAATAATTTGAAAACAGCTAGCTTGATTGGGTGAAAATATGCCAGAAGATTATTAAAATTGTCATTTAGTAGTTTCCCTCTACTGCTTAATATATCAAAATGAAATTGCATTCCTCAGTAGCTAGACTTACAAACTGAATCTGTCTTTAGTCTACTACTTCAAAACTCAAGCTAGTGTATGAATGCATCATAGGGCGGGGCGGCGTGGTAAATTGCATGGAAAATGGAGCTTAAATAAAGAAAGAAGAAGAGATACTCATTTTCTGTCAAGATTTTTTCAAGTGGTATTTGATCCAGATATAGTCTGAATTGGTTAGAAATATTTACTTCTATCATTTAAAATATGTTTAAAATATAATAAAAAAATAAAAAAAAATTTCTAAATTCTGTTATATATTTTATAATATAAAATGTTGTTCAAATATCTGGAATACACCTGAAAAATATATATCTAAGAATGCTCACATGCTTTTTATTGTAGCTTGTATCTGGGTACATCATATTTTCAAGCCAACGTGTAGAGCACGATTACTTAATATTAAAGTAAGATAAGACTTATAAAACTATGTTGAATAATATTATAAAAGAACTACAAAAGGAAGGAACTTAAGCTTATGCGATCTAAAGCACATTAGACTGGCTGCTTCGCCCACTGCGCGCCTCTTCATGGGGTATATATAAAAATAATCTAGAGCACTTTAACTCCACTCAAGCGCAAGATGAGACTTCAAATATTATGAAGTTAATACAACGGAAAGAACAGTTTTTGAAAAATGATTCTGATAAATGTGTTCGTAAACAGGGAAACCTGATTTGTTTCAAACTTTGGTGATTTTCTACCATTGCGGTCCATTCTTCGACGCTTGGCCATTACGATTTCCATAAAGCTCTGTGGCGCTGGGGTGGGAGCTATAGTTGGAGTTGTGAACATTGCCATTGCTGTTTTGCCGGTTGCGGTTCATGTCAACGTCGGCAAGTTTTTAGTTTTTCAAATGTCGCTGGGGCTTTTCACGCTGATGGACATCAGCAGCAATAAGGACAGCACCCCTTCGCACCGTACATAATGTTTTTTCCTTTTATTTTTATATTTTTGTATTCCTCGGTTGTACGCCCTCTAGCCGCAATGTTGTTGCTGTGTTATATTTGCCATTTCGTTCTGGTCCCCAGTCTCAAATGGACAGCACGAGGAAAAGAAGCAGCTGCTTCCAGTAGAGGCCATTGCTGTGTAGGGACTTGGTGTTTTGTTTGCTTCAGAGTTTGTCTGTTTGTACGTTTGCGTGTCTGTCTATTTGCCTCTGAGTTATCTGGGCGATGACCGGCGATTGTCTAGACCCTGCCCAACCCCACTAACCTCCCTGGCTGACTGGATGTCTGTTTTGCTGGCTAGCTGGCTGGCTGCTTGGTTGTGGGCTTGAATGTGCGCTTAGGTTGCTATTTGTATTGGTAGTTAAGGAATTGCACCTCTTTAAGTGTTCATTAAACAATTGAAAGTTTTTAATCGCCTTTCTTTGTGCAGATCAGCTCTGCAGAGCATGTGAATGAAGTCTCAGTTAAATGTCAAAGTTGGCTAAACTTGTGTGTTATGTGTTTATCGCTAGTTGCTGCACATGTTTTCAAAGCTTATTAGGAACTACAACATGCAACTCAACGTAGATATATTATATATAGATTTAGCTTAAACTGCTGCAAAATAAACGCATTTGGTTTACCTCGTAAAAGTCTGAATTTATTTTTGTTGCACGTTGCATGTTGCAGGCTGCAATTGTGTGATTGGATTGCAGTGAACAAGTCACAAAGTTTATCGATTGTATTCACGAACGTAGCCACTGTCGTGCTGCCGCTGATAATGACCCTTGATTATATGGTAGTCCATCATGTTAGCCTCTAGTAAGAAGAACTGGCAACAGCTTTCGTTTCAAATAAAGTATAGCTTAGCGTGAGCGGACTCGAACGTTGACGGGCGAAAAACTAGAATATGCCAGTCAATCTCGACAGCTTTGTTCTGCTGGCACTCACACGCACGCAGCCATCAATCAAGGAGCGGTTCGAGAACGCAAACTCAATTCTAAAATTCCATTTACCCAGTAAATGTGCATAACCGAAAGTAAATTGAATGGGATCTAAGGCGCCGGCTGTGCAAATCGAATGCTGCAGATTGAAGCTTTCCACTCGAAATTGTTGGGCAACACAGCGAATTTGCAGTGTAAACACTTAAATGGACCGCATCCCAAGCCATACGCAAATCGGAAAACTGAGAAATGTAGTCAATCAGGATTACGGCTGGCATTCAGTCAGTCAGCGTGAAGTGGATGGGATTTGCATACATAAATAAGGAAATACACAACTCTCTGTTGCCAGACCAAAGTTCGAATATTCAAGCATACTTAAAGGCGAATTAAAATAAACGCAACTTTATGTATCTCAGAACACACGAAGCGTAGCTATTGGCCACTCAGCATAATTGTTTTTGTTATTTGATGTTAATGTACGTCCATCAACTGTATCCGATGATGGATAAGTCATTCATCACTATTAGAGTCAGAACTTTTTATGTCATATAGAGTTTCTAGCAAGTTTCGAGAATGTTTGATTCTTTGATGATTACGTTTAAGGTTTTCATGCTTCAAAAATTTATATATTTATTTATATATGCCTGAGATATACATATTTATATATATATATATATTCTTGAGCAGAAACTAATTGCATATCATATGCAGTCCCATTTGTGTTTAGTAAATCTGGTAGATACCTAAAAATATATATTTATGTTATATTAACTGAGCTAACTGATTTGTGTGAAACTCAGTGCTACATAGGACCATCAATTCCTACAGTCGCGTAACTCATTGGGCGACACAGCTTAAGGAACGAGGACAGACTGCCAGCGTATTCTAACTATCTCGCAAGGCTTAAGAGAGTACATTCTCTAGACCATCGGATAATTAGTTAAATTACTAGCAATTAGAGCAGAAATTAAAATATGTATACTGACATATGCCCCAGCCACTAGATAAGGTTTAGAGTTGAAAAAAATATATATATTTGTATACCATCATCTGCAAATATTAATTTCCCATTTTAAACATATTGCCCATGTGTAAATCTTAATATTATTTTTGATTTGTAGATTTATACCAATATTTTTATTATATAATTCTTTAGTATAAATTCGGCACATGAAATGCATTTCTATGAATAGTTGTTCATAATATATCAACAAAGTCGAACTTTACTCTGCCAAATCGAATTACCATATTTATTTACTATGGACAAATAATAATTTCAAATAAGTTCTATATCTATAAGCTATAAAATTCTGCGCAGGTTGTTCATTCAGTTGCGCTTTGTAACAATAACTGTAAATACACACACACACACACATATATATATATATATATATATATATATATATGTATATATATAGAAATATATCTTGCTCCCCCCAAACAAGCAACTTGGGCAATTGTGGGAAATGAGCCACTGAGGGAAAGTTTTGATGAAAGCCATTGAAGCGGTAAAACGCACCGAGCAGCGGACAGAAAAGCTCCCAGAATTGCGAAACGGAGCGGATAGAGAGGACAGGTCGACGGAATTGGACAAGCAGCGAGCGTGGCAATAATGACTGTATTTATGGGTTTGGCAAAACGCATTAAACGCAGGTTCCGGCAGTCAAACAAATGCTGGAAATGCTGCAAATGCACGCGAAAAGAAAATGGACAAATGTTCGAGCTGCAGAGCAGAAGCTGGACTTGCGACTTGCGCCTTGCGACGGGCAACTGGCGTCTGGCGACTAGCGACTGGCGACTGAACGACACTTGCAACATTTAATTTATTATGCAAATGTGAACAAATGGCCTGAATGGTCATGGATGACAGCTAACGTCGCGGCGTGAATAATGGCCAGCCAGGACAGTGTGCCGTCGCCTTGCCAAAGCGATTCATTTGTATACTTTACAGATTTGCTCTTATTCAGTTGAATGTCCACTGCTGCTGAACCGAGGCAAAGTAGCTTTGGGCAGATAACACACATGGCACGCTTACGAGAGTTTAAGATGCAAACGCCAAACAAATTGAGTTACATGCAGATAATCGTTTATCAGATCCGCTCTCAATGTGTCCACGCAAATGTTTTCTGATTTGTGGACATTTGTCATGGTAAAGCAGGTCTTGGGACTCGACCAACTGAAAGATTGCATTTCAAATGTAGCTTGAGTGCTCCAGTTGCTAGAAATTCCTCAGCAATAAATGGAAAAATAAATAAAATGAAATTTTTAAGCTAGAGAGAAACTGAATTTATATAATAACAAAAATATGTATTACATTAATTTTATAATTTTATTTCCCGCCTAAAATAATCATATAATCATCTCATGATAGGATTTCGAATACGTGTAAATTAAAAACATTCTCAAGGGTAGAAAATCGTAATCAATAATGGAAATTAAGCCCGAATCGCGCATTCCGAACACATAGACTATAAATTTTTGATCTGTATCAAGTCGCGCTCAATCACCTTGTCTAGCAGCTCTCTCTCCTCCTATGCTCGTTCACCTCAGTTAGCTTCTCTTCTCGTAAAGTCCTACGCAGCCAATAGCGCATAAGTAAAAGATAATCAACTACAAAGTTTTCTTTTAGGGATGTCATTTAGGCAAATCGCGAGATATCTTAAATGCCCGAATCCGCATTGACGCATAAACATATAAAGTGTTTTATATGTCGGCGTTCAAGTGGTTGCCACATTGTTGCCACGCTGATTTAAATCGTGGCACGAATCAAATGCGCGTCAATAATCGTAAATGCGTACCCATCGCAGTGGCCAAGCAAACAGCTCATGAATGCCAATTAGAAAGGCGGCTTAGCAGCTGTCAGTGGCGAATAAAAGGGACCAGGGACATGAGACATGAGACGTGAGCCGTGAGGCTGGAAGACGCACCTGGTAGTCCATGTAGTTGTCGAAATGCATGTAGGACCCGCCGCCTACGCCGCCCGGCACAGGCAGCGGCATGGGTAGCCCGTTATTGTCCAACTCGACGGCGGGCGGCGGCGGTGGCGATGGTGGCAGATTGTCTCCTTTAAAGGAGACGCGCTTGGTGTGTCCCTCGGGTCGTCGGTTGCGGCCCAGGGTGCCCGCAAATCGGCCAGCGTGCATTGCGCCGCCGGCTGCCAAAGTTCCCATCATGTAGGAAAGCGAGCCACAGCCGACGACAGCGTCCTGGTGCGGCTGCTGTTGGGGTGTCGCCGACTGTAGACCGCAGCCGCCGAAGCGAAAGTGTGGCATGCAGGTTGTGGTGACGCTCCCTGCGCCACACTCGCTGCCCTCAAAGTCGCTCTCCACATCCGTCACAAAGGCGGCCGGCTGAAAGCTGCGCGGCAGCGTCGCTGCCGACGACGCAGCAAGCGCTGACGCCGCAGTCGACGTGGGCGGCGTGCGGCTTAGTGTGCCCGTGCAAAGAATGTTAACAGGCTGTGAATGTGAGTGTGGATGCTGTTGCAGCTGGATGCTGTGTGGATACTGTTCGATGCCGCCTTGTAAGAGCGCCAATTCGCCGTTAACTCCGGCGCTGCCCGCTGCTGCCGCTGCCGCTGCTCCCTCCACGCCCGCGGCGATAATATGAGTGGGCTGCAACTGATAATAGTGCTCGACGCTGCCCTGCGGCTGTGCTGCACCGGTTCCTCCCGCTCCTGGCGCCAGCAGCGCTGTTGGTATGACCATTATGGGCAACATTGTTGGCGCCGAAGTTGCCGGCGGCTGTGCTGCGTTGGTGCCGCACGGCTGCAGCAGCTCCATTTGGCACATCTCCTCATAGCTGAGTGGTCGCAGGTGCTCCATGGCTGGTTGTTGTGGGCGTGGCAGCCGGTATGTATTTGCAATAAAGGAATTTCCACTTGACTTCGCTGCCCTCTCAGACTTTCACTGAATTTTCACCTAGACGACGAGCACAGACGCAGGCACGCACATGTACATATGTATGTATACACTAGCAACGCCGCCAACGACGACGACGGCGACGAGGACGACGACGCAGTCAGTCTCTGCACAAGATGCGGGGGTGCAGATTCAAAAAGATTTCGCGCGCGTACCTTTAAGACGTTTCTCACATGGCGCCTTCGCTCGTGCGCTCGGCCCAACTTTATCTCGCGACAGTCCTGCAGCAACTAAAACAGGAGCTCTTCGCCAACTCTCAGAACTTTCAATTCGCCGCCGCCATTTTGTGCAGCCCCCGCGCATGCGTTGAGCCTGTCAGGCGAACACTGAACACTTGTCGCCCTCGCCCTTGCCGTCGCCGTCGCCGTCGCCGTCGTCACTTGGCGTTTTGTTTTGGTTCTGATTTGCGGGCCGTGTCGGGCACATTGTGGGTAGCGCCCGTTCCGCTATGGCTCGTTGTTAGTTTTTTGCTTTTCATTTCTTTTTTGCACCGCGACGAGGGAAATCAAAATACTTGAAGCTGCAGCTACCAGACTTGAATGCTAGATTTTATTTGCCGCGTCGCGAAATTCGTATCAAGGGAGCGCCACAGCCAGTGGCCACAGCAGCTGCATTCGCTGTGGGCAGCTATAAAACCAACTGTTGGCTTAGCTGCGCCCATCCAATCGATGACCAGCTGAATGGCTTCTAATTGCAAGAGTCAATGGGAGACAAAAAGTAAATGCGCTAATGGTGTTTTAATTAAGTGCGCAACTTTATGCTGCGAAGCATTTATTTTCAAACTCATTTGTTGTGTGCTTATAGTATAAAATATTTAAGCTGATTGATAATATTGCTCACTAAGCAACTCAAATTTTTTTTTGGCTTATAGTTGGCATCAAATCTTTGTGATGAGGCGCGATTCAGAAATCCTATACTCTGATATATATAAGCATACGCATATATATATTTGTTATATTTTTATTTAATAGAACTTGAGCTTGCCTCGGTACATAAAGTTTATTAAAATAAATGCTCTTACTTAAAGGCTTACGAACTGCGAACTGGGCAAGTTGCGTCTTGTAAGGATTATTCTAAAGAAAAGAAGTCGGAACAAATACTTTAAATTAAAAATATATAGTAGCTCCATTGGAGACAAATTAGAAAATGATATTCATATAATAAATGAGGCTATCGACTGGGAATTAGTTAATATTCACATTTCCACTTAAATACATTTCTTATGCTATATCTTATAATTTTTTCGAGTCACCATTTGCTTGAGTCACATTCTCATTTCATCTAAGCTGCAGCGGAAACCGTCCAAAATAATTGTTATCAGTTTTATTAGACAAGCGAACAGCAAACTATTTCAAACTACTTCTGCTATGAATGCTTTCTTAAACAAACCCGATCTTATCTGTCCAGTTATGAAACATGTCTGCGTTTTTAGGTCCCCACTAAAGAGGCGGAAGCCGTGCGACGCTCGCTTCATTTGTGAAAAGAACGTAAAAATCACAGTTGGAAATGTCTTTTGCAGATTGGGCTGAATCGCTTTGTTTTTTCGTTGTTGCTCATTTTTTATATTACTGTAAACGCTGGCAGCGCCAGCGTCGTCCTCATTGAGCCGCGGCCTGCTGCGCCGTCTCCTGCGTCCCGTTTACATTTGTTTCTTAGTATTATCCTGGTTAACCGGCTCGTTGTATGCGTGCGTCCCATACCTGCTTTTTCGTTCTGTGCTGCTCTGTTCTGGTCTCATCCATCGCCAGGGGTAGCCCAACTCGACTTTTTGTAATTACAAAAGCGCGAAACAGGCGCTGCCTGGGTGCGGGAAAGAGGCTTCAAAATCAGCTTTTAGGGGTTTTGTGGTGCTCGTTAAAATTTGTTGCTCTCATTTCGATTGTTCGCCCGCGTCGCTGTTGTTGTTGCCACTGTTTTTGGCATTACTGCCGGAGGGTTTAGTGCTTTTTCATATCCCAGAGGCGGCGACGGCAACGGCAGCCTTAACGCAATATTGAAGGTAAGTATTTTGCTTAAATGTGCGAGGCGGACTTTGGAGCAATCCGGTATGCGAGACTTGTTTGCAGTAATTTAGTGTGATTGGTGATTCCACTTGAAGCGCACTTTAATGCACATTCAATTTTCCGGTTAAAAGTTTCCAATTAAAAGTTTTGAATCATTCGCCAACTTGGGCCACTTAAGACTCCTAAGTTAGGAGTGCAAACAGCAGTGCCGCCCAAAAGTATGCAGCAAAATATTATACATTTTCGGCAACATTTTGCTGTAGGATCATTTAACGGCTGGTTAACCACTCAAACAGTCGAAAAACGGGCAGCGTGTATAATTTGGGTGCTGCAAACTGGACGGCATCAAGTGGAAGCGTTTAACTGAAAAATTTCTGCTGTCAAAAGAACGACGGCCCGAAATAAATTATTCCACAACGACAAACATGCTCGATTACATTTTGTTTAGAGCATGGTCTATCAGACGATGCCGTTGATGTAATATCTAACAGCCTAGTAAATATTGAAGTTTGGCGATGAGACAAATTGTATTTATGATCATATATTACGAAATGCCTAAACAATACATCGAGTAAACTGTATTTCTGTGACTATTTTATATAAGAGATGCCATTATGGAAAGCTACTTAATCATTTCACAGTTCTGTTCTGGTGAATAGATAACTAAGAACCCACAATAAACAATCCATTTGATAAATTGATTAACCTTCAAGTCTAAGGCTACGTAAACAAGATAAATAGACTTTAACGGTTGCCAACCAAATCGTTAAAAATCCCATAATCTTGACTAATTAATAAATAGTTCCACGAAAAATCTCAACCATTTTCTATTCTCAATGAAGAAGTTTGACTCAGCGGCCAACCATTAGCTAAGCAGCTGTCCTTTGTGTCCTTTGTGACAAGCAGCAAAGCTAAAACCAAAGAAAAATAGTTCAATCATTCACTCGCTTTGTCACTGATTACGAATGCAACAAAAGCTGAAAGAAAGATGAGAAATTTATCTTTGCCAGCTGCAGGTGTCAATTTGAATGCCAAATGCAAACTTTGATGGATTTCGCTCTAAATTAACAGCTTGAATAAAAGGCAAACGCAGCTTGGAAGACATCATTGTCTGAAATCAATAAATATATAACTAATTATCTTCCAAATTTGTGTTTTTTGCATATTATTAAGACATCAAGTATAATTGAACACAATTTGGATGGAATGAGGTATTTGATAACCCTTTAGATATTGCGGTTATTTCATCTCATTGGCCTCTGAATTATCTGTATGACATTGCCCCAACAGAAGCAGCAGCTGAACCTAATGACGGTGTGGCTGATTTAAATGCATTAAGAGGTAAGCACAACCACAGACACGTTTTCTCATTTAAGACACATTAACCACACACACACACAGAGAGACTCAAACAGACACACGCATGGAGGACCTAAACCGCACACACGTTCAAGACCTAACACGGCTGAGCTTTACGTTCGGTTGCCTCAAAAAACTTTACCCGTCCGTCGGTCCACACGCCTGGTGAGCTTTTAAATTAAATCACAAAATACAGATAGAGTCGGTAAGGCAACCGGAGCGACGACTAAACCAAATAAATGAACCCTTTTGGGCATACTCCACGGATGTCCTTGCGCGCGTCCTTCTTACTTAAGGCAGATAAAAGGCAGGCAGGCAAGCAAGCAAGCAGCACACGACAGGAAGTCAACTTGCCAGCCGGACGATGGCGATGGCGATGGCGATGACAGCGACGCCTCGTGTTTTGCTTGGCAATTCTGTTGCCAGGACAGCCCGAAAGGATAATGGCATAAAATCCAGCAAAATGAAAAGAAAGCGGCAAATCATGTTAAGAGATTTAAATTGGATTAGGCGACGTGTGTATGTGTGTTTCTGTGTGTGTGTGTGTGTGTGGTTGTATGCGAGTGTGAACTCGCGCTAGCCCTGAAAACCTCTTGCACTGCAGACCACCGGAATCAACCTCTCGCTCGCCCCATTCGCCTCTTCTCGTCTTGACATCAATTTCGTCACTTGATGTTTTTACATTTTGTATGCGGCTGTCATGTTTTCGCTTCTATTTTGTTTCATTTTATTTTGTTTTGTTTTGTTCTGTATGCTTGACACAATTCCTCGTCAAGAGCACACGGCTCAAGTGCTGTCTCTCAAGTGTTCGATGGCATTCATCCTATCTGCTCTTTAACAGCCACCACACCGTAGCGTCATGTGCTTAAACGGCTGCTCCACATTGACGACACCAAAGTCGCTTTAGCTTTTAGTATTATGTGGCTAGACTGAGACTTTGCACCAGCCAGAAATACGCTGCCAATTTAACCTGTTGACATAATGAACAGCTATCTCTATAGCCAAGTTAATTGTATTGAGTAATACTCATGAGACATGAAAAGCAGAAAATGATAAAAATAAAAACAAATATAAACAAATAAATAAATAAAAATGCATTTCACTTTGCTAAATTATTAAATAATCATGAATATATATTGTATATGGTTGCTAAGCCATGCTGAGTTTTTATATTCGATCTGACCCATGCATAATGTATGTCAGGGACCCAGTGCTTGAATAGTTTGAATAGTGCTTACTATTGGGTGGAATAACACTGTCCTACACTGTTTTTATTTTTTTCCTACAACTGTGATAAGTAGACTATGATTTTATTTAGGCACAAGTCGCATAGCCATATAATTTATAGATCTATCAAACGAAGAACTGATCCACCTGTAATTTTAGTTCCAATCATCAACATCGTTAGTAGGCTTCGATATACATGAGGACAACAGAACTTTACTGTCCAAAACTGTGGAAGATGTATAAGATGTTTGTGATGCTTTCCCAGGAATGTACAAAATATTTTTAGTAAATTTATAGTAAAGGCCAACAGTTGCTCAACTATAAATGTGATTTTTGATTTTCTAGATTTTGTAGAAAATATAACTTGGAGATTCAGCACGCTCCTTGTAGGCATAGATATATATATATATAGAAATATATATAGCATCATTTTGAGCAAGCACTATAGTCCGTCTTAAAAAAGGACAGACAGACGGTCGGAGGGATGAGAAGAGATGCTCCCTGTAAAATACATTAAACGAGTGCAAAAATCGGAGAATATCTATATACTTTCTCCAATATCTTCCTTATATATTCGTCCGTTTTATTTAAGTCCTTTTTTAGCAAAGTTAGTTATAAAAGTTATCGATTGTTAAATCTAATCGGTTCGTTGTGAATGGGGGTGCGAATTAGTCTAATCTTTTTTAGTTTTGTTATTTAATGAATACATATGAGGCTGCACGTCCAATACAAAAAGTCAAAGGTCAGCCTAATGCGAAAATGTGTATATTTAATATTTTTATGTAGGACTCGGTCTTGGGATATTCTGGCTCTTATACACATTATATATATCCAATGCTCTGGCACTGGAAACTTTATTCGGTGGATCCCGCTTCTTTGCGTACTTTACTCTGGAGGTGAACACGTCATACCCCAAGCTAACAGTATTATCATATAACACTCGATATTTTGGTGCGACGAAAAAAAAGTTTATCATCTGGGCGATTGGCCAGACGGTCCATTCAGCTTTGTAGAGCGTCCAAGCTTTGTCTTTGATCTCATCAGCTACCTCATCCCAGGTGTTGTCCTCCAACAATCCCATTGTTAGAAAAAAAATACTGATGTAGAGTGGCGAACAAATGCATTGATCCAATAATATTTTGCGTACAACCGTACCAAAAGTTCGCTTGGGGTAATAGTAGTCCAGATAGTGATACCAGTAATGACAAACAATGCCCACAGTGAAGCCAGAGATGCCCATTCGCAAAGTACGCGTGCGATCCCAGCCGTGGATCTGCTCAGTATAGCGTTCATATGATTGTTCCATGGTGTCACCCAGCATGCTTAAACCAATCGAGATACCAAGGTTCGTAAAAAGAAGGTATTTCTTACTGAAAGCTGCACTGTGCCACCGGCTGAGAATCCTGTGCACTTTCTTATACCGTCCCCGATATCGCATTGGGTTTCTGTTGGCAAGTGACGTGGGCAGAAGCCCCTACAGCCCACATTAACAAACTAAATTTAACAAAAATGTTTGTAACAATACTGACATTTTGATATTCCTGTTTTGATGTTGACATTCAAGTCTAAATTGAAACCGACTATAAATTTTACTATTAGAAAAACGTTGAGTTTTAATTGAGTAGAGAAATATTCAAAAGAGAAATTCCAATATATATCTTCCCCCATTAGTCCCTATCTGCATTTCTGCTCCTCTCTCTCCAACTAAACACATATTGTCCAGCTTGGCAAAGCCTATGAGCTGAACCGAAGACATGTTAAAAGTCAAAAGAAAGGGGTAGAGAAAGACGATTTAACGGTATTTAACTTTCAAAAAATTAAAAAAAAAAAACAAATAGGCAAGAAAATCAATTTAACGCCATCAAAGCAAATGAGTTTTACCAGGATTCAACAAAGCTCGGTCGAGCGACAAAAATGGCATGGAAAAGGGGTATATATGGTTGAGTCTTCTTTGTTGTGGAGGGCTTAGTTTCGCCTGGGGTGCCGCAGGGCAAACGGCCTTATTGGTGGGCTTTTGAATAATACAGCATTTTGCACATGTTGCGCCTCTTCCGCTTGCTGCCCCTTCCAATTCGGTTGGGCGTCGTGGGGGATAGGGAGAAAGCTGTTTTTGCGTGTCGTTGAGTTGATTTCGGCAAATCATTTGCACACGATTCCCAATACTTTTGACAGTCGCAGCAACCGCAGCCCTTGGCCCCCGGGGGAAATCATCGTTCATACATATGGATGCTCCCGTACGCTCGACCGCACGAGCCATGGACCGAGCTACTGAATTGAAAAATATTTACGGCATTCAACATTTTACGCTAAAATCCAATTTTATTTTTATATTTCGTCGAAAATCCGCCATAAAATGTACCCACACACATACACCCACAGAGAGAATCGTGACCCGTTTGCCAGACATTCCGTTTCGTTCCGTTCCGTTCCCAGACCCTATTCCGCCCGTTAAGCCCGTTCCCGCCAATTGAAAGCAGGCGCCGTAAATTCGGCTTTGCATTTTATTTGCATTTGGTGGCGCAGATGAGCTTTAGTTTTCCCCAGATTCCCGCACCAGGGACTAGGGACCAGGGTCGAAAGAACCTTCTATTTCAATAGCCCGGCAGTGCGACAAATAAATTTATTTTCCTCCATTATTATTGACGTCATTTGGCAAATTTGCGAGGTGTGCCATTGTAGGCTCTTGTTTTAATTATTAAATACGTTTTCACGCTTCCATAGCAATATTTTATATTTACGTGTGGCAGAGATATTTAAGTGAACGAGTTCAACATGCACAAAAATAGCAGAAATTATTTTAAATAAATTAATTTGATTCATATATATATATGTATATGGAACAGTTTTATTGCCTTTCCAGGAGCATGTTACTCCTTCCATATACAGTTTATTATAAATTTGCATACGTGTCTTAAATTAAATGTTGCAATGTTACATTGTTCCACAACAATGAATTTAAATAGTTAAAGTTTCTTTGTTCAGTCTGGAGTCTGCAGCGACAACAACTAAACTGGCCCAGCAAGCTGGAGACTCGCCAGTTCCACAAAGCGTAACACTACACACTTTTAACTTTTTAGAAACCCGAATAGAATATACCCTATAAAAGATCATTCAGTTCATTTTATATATTTTGTCGACAGACCTAACTTTGATGAGAGTTTAAGAACTCTTTGATAATTATTTCATCATTAGGTTTACAGATCGAGAGCAACCGAACTCATTTTATAAATATAAATAAAGTTAAATTTATATTATAAATTAAATATATTTATTATAGACAAATATTCTGCATTCAATTAAAATTCAAATTGAAAATGATAATTGAAAACAATTTTTATATATTAAAAATTTCTTTCTGAACGCTTCAGTTGCAAGCGCATTTAGCATTGATATCAAGTCATCATTTAGCTGTTCCATTAGCATAGGATTTGGACTTTTCTATGATGCGTACAGACACAGCGGATAGATAGAGGATAGCTTATAGTCGAGCAGTGGCGATTGGAGTCCTTTTTGCTCTTTCTAGTTGCTTTTGTTATTATTTGGACCGTTCCGATCCAAATATATTTTTGGCGCTGGCTTTCAATGTTGTCCGTGTGTGCAATTTAATTGAATTTTTTATTCACTCAATGAAAGCAAAAGTTGAATATGCTTGCAGCGAAGCGTAAAAAATGTCACAGTCCCATGGTCCATCTCAATCAGCTTCTGCGCATCCTTCCTCCCCTGGGAGCAGAACTGTCATGGCCAAGAGTCATTTATGTTGGCTCGTTACACAGACATACATAACTAAAAGGTTTGCTCGATATATTTCTAAAATCAATTCCTAATTGCTTTGCAATCGATTTGGAAATATATTCGAGGCGATGAGAGTACATCTGAGCTCAGTCCGTGCCATTCGTTTGCATTGACTTCGACTTATGCAAATAAAATTGAGATGTATTTTTAATGAGATTTTGGACACTCCCACCTAACGCAGCCTAACGATGGCAGAATCTATGAAAACTCAAAATAGTTCGCACGCAGAGCCAAACCATTTTGAATGAGCATCGATTTAACAATTTACTCCAGTTCACTTTTAGTCGGATGTCGCAGTTGTAATTTGATGAATCTCCATTGATGTCCACTTGAGTGGATGAGTCGGCCTTTTATATGTTTGTATTTTCTTTAATTTCATTTATTTATATATTTTAAAGAACATATTGTACAATAAAAATTAATCGAATTTATTTACATTTATTCAGACGTTTTCAAATTTATACTTTCCATCTGGACATTGATTGAACTAATTACTAATATATGAGCCACTATTTGTTAGTGCAGCTGTAGGATCCAGACGAGTTTTTAGAAAGTTTAAGCAATTAAACCATATGTACTTTAAATGCAATAAAATCTTCAACTATGGATTTTCGTAACTGTATTCACCAAATCTGAGTAATTTCCAAGCACAGCGAGGATTTTTTCTTATTTATTTTATTATTTACAGTCTAGAGTTCAGCTTAGCTTTGCAGCAACTAAGCATCATCATTATTTCTCTTGAATCATGGTTTTTGCAAAGCCACACAAATTAATTCGCATGTAAAAATTCCTGCCTAAAGCGGAAAATATAGTTTTCAGCAATTTTCACCCTAGCAAATGTAATTTTGCCCAAAAAAAGCTGCTGCTTTGTATTAACTTACGTGTTAATGTAGGCCTGGTTTCACTGCTGCCGGCGGGGTCAAGCAACTTTTGCTACATTTAAATTACACCGTTGAGGCAAATAAGTCAGTTTATAGTACGAGCAGGAGAACAAATTGTCAACATGACGGCAAACGCCATTGCCATTCGTGCCAATTTCGTTAAGGCAAACAAACAGCCCGACGCCACCCGTTCGACGCTGACTGAACTAACTAAACAGACCAGAGGCACAGAGGTTGGACCCACATTTTGCCTAGGGCACTTTGCAGTGCAGGTGGGTCGGAGTTGGCGAGCTGATTTTTTGGACCCCGAATGCTGGGCGCATAAACAAAGCAGCAGCAAAATGGCAAGCGACACGTGGAGTGCGCTGGATTGTGAACACCTGATTACCAGCCGGCGAATGTGGCTGTTTATGAGGCGCAAAAATGTCATACATCATGCGACACGTGCACAGGGGCTGATGTTGAAAGCAGAGCAATTCAGGCGCCTGCCGGCTCCTAATTTAACACATGACAGCTCCGAGTATAGCACAACCAGGCAACTGTATCAGCACATGTGGAGCACAACATTTGAATCTGACGAAAAATGTAGTACGCGTCGGGCACTGGCTTGACATTTGCCTGTCTTTTGGCAGCTTGATAGGCTGCAGTGTCATCCTCGTCACCATCTGGCCATTATCATCAGCAGCGGTAGCGGCAGCAGCAGCATCAGCAGCAGTTGGCAACTGTTTGTGCACTGTGTTCCGAGCGTGTTGGTCCAAACTGAATTAAGCTAAAGCCAAAGTTTGTGTGTGTTGGCAATGATATGCTCAAAATACGTTTTCTCTCCTTATATAACTCACGTATATATGTATGTGCATGCGAAAACATGCCAGGACACATGGCACAGAACACGATAACCTTTCAAGCACATTTTGACGATATTTCATAAACTGCACTCCCCATATAATCGCTGATTGTGAGTTATGTTATTCATAGGACATGCCGCAAATTGGGCGAAAACATGTAATGTCGTCAATATTTATTAATAAATAATATTAATAAATATACTATATTTATGTTTATTAATTTGTTAGGACTTCTGTGTAATTTTATATGCTTTTATAATAATACGTAAGTATTAAAAGGAAACGTTAGAGTTAGAATAGACTTCGCATTTCTAGATTTGTTAAATAAAATCAAATGAGTTTTGTATGTAAATGAGCCTAACGCCATTTATCTTATATCTTATATAAATATCTTTATATAATTAGCTTATATAATTAAATGAGGCTAGGCAATATTAGCCAATTGCAGTTGAATCATGCCTCATGAGTCGTTTTATTTTGAAAGCCTTTCATAGGGATGATTTCATGATTAGGTCCATTCATAGAACTATTCAGTCACAGTATTACGTTAAAATGAGAGAAATGCAAAATATTTTATACATATAAAAGGAACAGCTAGTGGGAGATAGCTTTCAAAAGGCTGTTGTGGGAGGGAGCTCTAATTAGAATAATTTCGCGCTGCGCTGCGCTGCTCTGCGTACGCCTGGTAAGTTTTTATACATGTTTCAGCATCTGTCGGCTGGTGCAAAGGTTGCCTGGCTTTCAGGTACTGCCTGCAGGACATACATTCTTACACACAAACGCAAAACAGCCTCGAGTGTGTGTGTGCGTCAAAGAGTATGAGCATATGTGGTAGCTGGTCGACTGCGCTGTGCATGGGCATGACGAGCAAATGTCAGAGCAAGAGGTCACTGAACCTGTCGACGCGACACGGCCTGAACATAATCAACAGGAGCGCCAGCAGCGACATGGCTCCCATAACACACAGAGGACACACACACACAAAGAACACACACTCGCACACACAGATATAATAAGCACACACCACATTATATCTATCACATACAGCGACGCTGATGGCGTTTATCTTTAAATTATAAAATGTAATTAATTTGTAAGAGATGTTTCACTCCCATTCCCATTCGCTTGACTTTGGACTTCGCGCCGCATCTGTAAACTTGTGCCTTATTATTTCCTTATCATTGCCAGTTGCCACATGTGCAGCCTCCCATCAGCGTTTAGCGGCTTAATTTTAATTAATTTGAAAATGTGTTTGATTTGTAGGTTTTGGAGGGTCGGATTCAAGCTTACAATAATTGATTTTCCCATGATGCTAGATTGAGTTTTCCTAAATCTAATCAACGATAAAGATTATAATCTTGTCTTAAAGTCTTTTTTATATTATTATTGAAAATATTAAGTCTAGTTTAATTATTAATAAATTAGTTTCTATTGTGATCTTTCGTTAGTTGAACATATTTTGCTATGCCAAGATCGTGTCGACAATTAAATTAAATAATAAGCTTTCATACTGAAAGTTGCTTTATTTCTAATAATACTAATTCTAATGAATACTTTCACAGCTCTAAGTTCTAAATAAGCTATTCATTGGCTTAAGAAGTCGTTGTGTTCAGGCATGAACATACTGTAGTATATTTAATAACGTATTCATAATACCCGAAGCTATGTGGAGTATTCTGTATATAGATGCGTCATATGCCTAACATATGATAGTGTATACTAAATACGCATATAGTGACATTTGTCCCTACGCATAAACATAGAGCGAACGCAAGATAAGCAAATGTAATATGATCAGCCACTTATGGTCAGACTACAGCAGCGCGGGAGATGCCGCGTACGCACTGCCTAAGGTCTATGCCGCTTGCCTAATGTTTATGCCATATGCACTTATATGCACTTATATACAAGCTATATATAAGAAGCTACATAGCGGAGAGCATAGTATGTCTCCCGCTTGGAGCTCCACTCATTACATAATGTACTTAGGTTAAGAGACGAAATACGCATGAGCCAGGGTATAAGAACTCTTGCTCAGACGAATAAAGACCATTACACAACTGAACACCACCACAGTTATTTGTATTCACATTTTTTGGTCCTTCGAGCCGGAGCCACAAGGCTACGTTTGTGATGTGTACACACGTTGCTTATTTGCTCTTTACAGTTTTTGATGTCTGTCAAGTTGCAGAAAAGCCGGAGACATTTTATTACTTTTGCTCGTATTCTTTTTACATTGGTAAGCTTAATCGCAAATGCTTTCGTTTACTCCCAAACAAACACATAAATCAATTTGGAATTTTTTCAAATCATACTTTGACATGTTTTGCTTTTGCCATTGGATTCGGGAACAGCAAAGTGTCAACAAAATATAACTGAAAGAAAAAGTCACAGACAAGAACAAGAACCAAGTGTCAACAGCTAAAATCTAAAAGGACCAACTTGTGGTTGCACGATGGGCGGATAGTAGGCGGGCCATCGAACAAAGGTATACACTGAACTGGCAAAGTCAATTTGAGAGGCACACACACACACACACACACACGCTGAACTGCAACGGCAAAGCGGAGCGGAAGTGCCGTATTGTGGCACAAATACTATACAAATTAAATGGGGCGAACATTTAAATGGTTTTTGCTTTAAAGCCCAAATTCGCTTCTGTTTGGACCTGCATTTGTGTATTTTTTTGCTATTTGCTTACTTGTTGTTCGCATTTTGTATTTGTTCTCTTCGCATTTTATGCATATTTTTGATTTACATTGCGCTGTTTGCCTTAGCCACCCTACTTGTAGTTCTTGCTGTTGTTCAGCTGCTGGCGCTTAGCCCAATACGTTCAAACAAAGCGATAGGGTCCAGACTGATCAGCTAAAGTATGCCCTTTAACTAAGCCTTAGTTGGCATCGATTTTTTATATATTTTACTAACATTTTTTATTTTTATGTAACGTCATGTTGAGGAAAATGCATTCGCTATCAATTACAATTGGGCTACAACTCTTCTAACTCTTATATATATTGCTTTTTACTTTTATATATTATGTTTTTATTCTTAATTTAAAAAAAATTAAAAAAAAATTAATAAATAATAGTTACCAAGATATCCATAAAATAAAAACAAAATTTAAATTTGTAATCAATGTCTATATCTTATTGAGTTGACAGACATTATAGAAAAGTAATGTAAAGTAGTCCTTATTACTTCTCTAGAATTTATAAAACTATATAAAAAGATATAACTGGCATTGTTGTTCCTTTGGATTAAGTGCAGGGTATAATACGGCTATTCTGGTCAGTGGAGGGTAAACACTTTCTCAATTGTACGCTTTGCTTTTAGTCGACCCTGTGGCTATCTTTCTTGTTGGCAAAAGACTTTTGAAATACCTCAAAGACAACTTGTTGTCAAAGCTACTTGGTTCCCAGGCCACGTTTTCATTTCTGTTTTCCGACTGATAATTACGTATATACTCGCTGATGGGCAATGAGAAAAGTGTAATTAGACACTGGCTAAATTGCTCGTGGAAATAATCGAAGTTTCCGCATCGTGAATCGCAATGAGTTATGAATCTAGAGAACACTAGGGAAATTAAGAGCCAGCTGAATAAAATATAATATCAAAGCACTCGCTCAATGTGTAATTAAAAACAAATGTTGAATGAAAAGCAATCAACATATATTTATATGGAGAATAGTCCGAAGGAAGGAAATCGTTTGAAATAAATGTAAACAACGTTGACAAAAGTAAGCTCATATTACATTGTTAAAGGGATATCTTAAGCCAATTGTAGCTATACATCTAGTAGCCGATCATTCAATAAATATAAATTAATAACATTTTTCCAAATTGTAGTGCACTTAAATATTTTTCAGAATGTTGGAAGGTAGCAAGCACTCGACTCGATGTATAAGTGCGCAAGGTCAATACATTTTCGATTTTAAAACTAAACAACCGCTGCTAAGTCTAGGGGCGATTCCTTATCTGAAGCCTGTCTGCTCGTTGGAATTGGCAAGTGATTTGGAAAACTGCCTAGAAGTCATTAATAGTCCAGCTTCAGAAGAGCTCGTGATGGACTTATCTTGGCCTGCCACCAGACTCAGCACGATTTCATCTAATCATAAACTGAACATTTTTCCCGAGAGTATCGACTATTCAAAATTGTTGTCGTTTGAGTCCGATTCGCCACACGATTCGCATCACAATTCGATGGAACTGACTTTGGAGAAACCGAAGCTAGCACATTACGAAGAGAAGGACAACGACGTATACTTCATAGCAGATATGGATCCAGGTTATGCTGAACTAGAGAAAGTTATCACGTCCGATAATACAGAAGCACCCTCTGTGGTACAGCCCAAGTCTGGAATACTTAACGAAATCTTCAGGAGTAGATTGCTTTCTGCACAGAGTGTGAACGACTTCTTTGTCAATGCTAATCAAATGAGGATTAGAGTCTCATACGATGATATTCTGAAGTGTAGACTATTGACTGCAAATGTTATTAAAGACATTTTACGCGAAGAGCAGCTAGATTTGCCAACAACTCAATCTAGTAAGAGCTCCCATAATTAATTTACGTAGATCCTAATTTTTTTTTCCAAAAGGCATTTCTAGCCACCATTTAGCTTTTTATAAAATTAACCTTTTAAGTTGGCAAAAACTTCATGAGTTTTCTCCGCCCACTTCCGATGAAAATATGAATCATTGCCAGCCAGGTCAAAATTTGAAGCTAATTGGCATGTGTCTTGATAATACTGAAATAAATATTGATTCCCCACAAGAGAAACATTTTGATAATCTAAAGAGTACGAGAGATAATCAAGTGCGAGCTAATGGACATGTAGATGATCTAGAATCAACTGAATCTAATGTGGACTTGACCATTGACCCTGTTGTAACCCGGAATGAGAAGCTCGAAGGAACACTAAAGACGTTCCTCGATATAAGTGATCCAGGAGTTATTAGAAAGACAGGTGTTCAGATATTCCGCAAGGAAACTAAACTTTTCGCTTTTGACAGTAAAAAGCAATGGCTTAAGAAAGGTAAATGAATTAAGAACTCATGAATTTCTAGACAATAATCGAATGCTTAGGCGAAGGCCTGATTGAGGTTTGGAGACAGCCAAGCACTGGGAACTGTTACATTCTACTCTGGGACCAGAACTCACAAGATCTGCTGGTGCATGTGCCCGTAGATGGCAAATGGAGCGTGAAATATTCGGCAAATGCATCCAACAGCTGTCACTGGCTCTACTACAATTTCGCGAATTGTCCTCAAGGAGTTCACCAGCCTCTGTCCTGTAGTTTCACAGACGCAGACGTGGCTTCTCAGTTTGTGCACACTGTGGCCAATTGTGTAAAGACACCCATACATTAATACATATATATATATATATATATATATATATATATATATATATATATATACATATATTTTTGTGTTGTTCAGTTCAGTCAAAATGTTATTCCGTTATCAATTTTGAAAACCAAGTCTTTCATTTATTCATTTCAGATGAGTGTTATTGTGCTAAAATATTGACTATTTTGGAGTTATATAAAAGCGAATAGCTGCTGAGTAGCGTAGCAATACTTCCAGCACGCAAGGCAAGACAGATTTAATTAAATTTAAATTTGAACTTTTCACATAATTATTTCTTAACATTTGTGCACTCTTTTACGCCGCCCTCAATTGAGTCTGCCTGTCTTTGTGAACGTAAGGCCAACATCAACTCATTTGTATCCTAATTTGATCAAACAAAGTTGTATAGCTAAAATTGAAATTGAGCAGGCTTGTTCCCCTGCATAGACCTACACGTTGTGTGGTCTGTCCAATAAGATATGGCAATACTTGAGCATAAGCTATCGATAAATTCAAGTGATTTGGGATGACTTGTGAATAGAAATGTAGAGACTATGCAGGACTATGACTAGGCTCTAGAGACATCGCTGTAGTGTCAGCTGCTTTTGTCAACCAGGCGGTCGCCATGCAAATACTATCGCCATAACAAGTTTGTTTGGTGTATTGATCAAACAAAAGAGCCGCATTCAGTAAAATGTAGAAGCAAACTGACGGCAGCGGACGCCATGGAATCGGAGAAGTTGAATGACTTGAATCGGCAAATCAATGAAATTAAGAAACGAATTCTGCTGGCTGGTGAGGAAACTTAAGTGCACTTATTGAAACTAATTTACATCCCAAGTGTTTGCTCAGAGGGTCAAAAGACGGCCAATGCAGCGGAATGGCAGAAGCAGAATCGAATTAACTGCGACACGATTGGAACTTTGAAAAAGGAAATTAAGGAATTGACGGTTAAGGTAAGTCGACTACGCCATCCGCTACAGCGCTCGGTGGTCATTAAGGATTCCAGCGCTGAGCCGCGTAAGAAGCAGAGTGCCACGCCCAGCATCATTGTGGGTAAGGCTACATATCCAATTGGAGCGAAGAATGCCGAAGATGCGCTTTTCCTGACCGATCTCAAGATAACCGAGAGTCGCAAGCAAATGGATCTGCTGCGTCATCGGTTCAAGACACGACAGCAGCACTTCAGTCGCTTGGTGGAAAAATATCGGGAACTATTGGCTAACAAAGAGGCACAAAGCCAAAATTTGGGTGAGAAGCCACCAGAGACACTCGAGGAGGACGCCAATCGCAAGGTGAGTCCTATCATCATAGAAAAAGGCATCAGACTAAACCGGGCATTGGTCTGACTCAGCTTGTTTGTCAGTTGGAGAATGAGATACATCGCACCAACGTACAGTGGATGGAAGCTGAGCACATACGCAAAAAATATCGTTCTATCGAAGCTTCGCTCATGACCGATGCGGAGCGTTTCGAGCGCAGTTTACGTGAATTGGAGCATTCACTTAGCGAGCAAAAGTCGGAGATCGAACGCCTGCAACAGGTGCACAATGAAGCCATCGAAATGCGAGATGCGGCCAAGGTGGTGCTGCAGCGCCAAGAGCAACAGGCCAATCTCTCACAGAAGACGCGCGAGCGCCAGGCTCTGGACTTTCGAAAGCAGGTGGAGGCGCGTAAGCTGGAGTTGGAGCGCATTGGACGCAAGCTTTTCGCAGAGACCAAGACACTCGTGCATCAGGATAGTGTGGGATCAAGCTCGGGCGATCAGCACACGGCCAAGACTGAGAACGGTGAAGAGGAGCCAGTTTCACAACTCGAGAGCGTGACCAGCGACATGGAGTCCCTGTTTAAGCAGCTTATGGAGGCTTCGGGCGCCACCTCACCCTTCGAAGTCTTTGAGCGCTTCAGCGCCCAAAAGGAGTCAGCTGCACGTCTCACATATTTACGCAAAGCAGCTGAAGCCGAAAAAGCCAATTTGGAGGCAGAACGTGAGGCACTTGCCAGCGAGTTGGAGGCTTCAAAGTTTTCGGATGTCAAAGAGAGTGAAGTGTAAGTTGAATAGTGCTGAAAAATGTCCACTTAAATAATCATCCAATTCTGATGGATAGCAATCAGGAGATCATCGAACAAATAAAAAACAACATTGCTGCAATGGAAGAAGAACGCAAGAAAGACACAGATGCCGCTGACAAGTCCTTGGGTGTGCTCAAATATCTGAAGGAGCGCATTTGCGAGATGATATTCAAGGTGCAGGAAGTGGATGAGAACAACATTGACATGCGAGAACGTAAGCTGCACATCACCGTAGCAGAGCTGCCCAACTTCCTGGCACATGTGGCGCAGGACGAGGACCTAATTGAGGTAAATAGCACATCCTACTCTAGCAGCTGGGCTATTGCAATAATTTGAGTTTTATCAGATCCTTAAGCTGAAAATCAAACGCTGCCAAGAGCTCAGCAAAGCAGACGATATACCACCACTTGAAATACCCAATCTGGACTTAGAAGACGAAGAGGAGGACTTGTACCCGTTGGAGCCACCCAAATCGCCGTCCGTGCCCGAGGGCGAGAAGCCGCAGCCAATGCCCATGTGTTATTACAACTTATTCGCAGGACGCTCGCAGCGAGCGGCAGGCACTTCGTCGTCCTCGCCAGAACAGGCGCCGGCAGCAGGTAGGTTAACCAAACCAGTGTAGTCCGGCCAATATTCATCAGACTCTTCTACTCCCAGTGGCCACAGCCGATGATGACAATGAGGTGCCATCTCGCAACTTCTTAAAACGCCAATCTGTGCTCATTGTGGACTCTAAGTCCCGACGGAAACCTTTTAGACCCCCACCTGGTGCCAGGCGCAAATAGTCCCTAGCATACAAAGCGAGGATTATAATAAGCAATTTACAAATAAAGATATTTGCCAATTTTAGGCGTTGCTTGTACTTCTTGGGTCTGTTTGCTCCTGGGAAATGCATATGTCGGACTCTATCGAATCGAACCTATTGTGGCAAATAACAAAACTTATCTATTCTTCTTCCTCCCGAAAATATATTGACAAAACTTGGCATTGAGTTTTTTATTCTCCTTAAAAAAATTCGTATTATAATTGCGGCTTAGAAAACATTAAATGGGTAAAAAGTTTTGTGCCAATTCATAGCTGCAGGGTATTTCAGGTGCGACTAGAAAAGTTGTACAAGCTTTATTTTTTACCTTTGGTATTTGTATTTAAATTGTCAATGGAAACCAATTTTTTAAGACAAAGTTTTTGTTTCATAACTTTTTGAAATTTTGATGGAATTTAGCGCCTCAGGTGGTGGTGGAGTGGCATCCGTCAACGACTACACTAATGGAATGGAATGTTGTCTTAACGACTAAGGAATTTCCCATGGTAATATTATACACACTGAAAGATAACTGTACATGAATAAGTATAATCGCCGCTGATACACATTTGCTGTATGTGTGCATGCTACACTCGAAGTATTACCAGGGGCATGCTGCGGCGTGTGTCTGCAACAAATTGGTATCCCCTTTGAGAGTTATAATACTTATCGAAACATGTCTCGGCCATATTTCAGGATGCTGTCGCTCCGGCTAGATGAATGTCAGCGGCTGCAGCCGAATGACATAACAAATAGCTGTCCGGGCGATGCAGCACACGATGGAGTAGAATAAACAATATTTATTGCAGCAATGAGGAGGAATGGACGGACAGCAAATGAAGTGCAAAGCGCAACAAAGTACGGACCGCGGCTGTCGCAAGAGAAATAACCTTTCAAAAATTGTCTAAGCCAGTGCAAGTCGGGCCGAGGCGAGGCGGGGTCGTCTGCCGTTCTAACTTGCAATAATAAAGCTCAATGCAGCAGCTGAGGACGAGCAATCAACGCCAGACGGACGAAGGCCACGATGGAGCGATGGAGCGTTGTAGGATGCCAGGATGCCAGAGACAGCTCCGGGGTTCAGTGGCGAAGTGCAAACAAAGTCGCCTGATGATCTATTACATGGCCTGTTGCCGGAAGTGCACAGCACCCAGTGAGCAATAGAGAGAAGGCAGGGCCGGGGACTGGTGTTGTGTTGTGTATGTCAACTAAATGTCAACAACGAAGGCATAAGCATCTGGCAAACAGCTATTTGGCAACACAGCCACCAACACAGCGACCCAGCCCGAAACTGAAATGGAAAAAGGAAAGCAAAATGAAACTTCGCAGCAACGGACAGCATCTCATCCCAAGGTAACCAAGTAATCCACCCGGCAGATAGAAAAACAAAAGGCTCACTGTATGCCACAGGGTGAAAGCAATGCCAGGGCTAAGAATTGTTAGGCTGACAAAACCGTTGGCTGGCGCCATTGGCCCTGACAACGCAAAGCTTGGGGTGTGCGTCCTTAGAAATTCAAGGGTAAGGAGAGCGCCTCGGATCGGGAGTGTTTGACTGGAAGACACCCTTTTTTTTCAACTTCAATTAGGCCTATTAGGCAGATGCACCCAAGCATCTTCTGACTACATCTACAGTTTACACAGTCTTTACATCAATTATTAGAAGACTTACTACTAGCTGCTGGAACTATTAAGCATAGCCTAACGAAAAGCTAGATTTACTTGATAAATTCTCTTGTTCATTCCGTCAATTAGTCAAAGCTTGAAAAGCAGTTTAATCACTGAAAAATATTCAGGAAGCAAAATGAAAATTAAGCTTTTCTTCAATAAGGCTGCACAATTATAATGTAAAGTTTTTCAGAGTTCGCAAGCTAGACAATCATGATCGACTCGTTGGCATCTAAAAAATTGATTTTATATTACTAAATATACCTAAATCGATTGTTACCCGATACTAGGAAAGTTGGTACACATTCAACTGCCACGCTAAGGGCCAAGTTTAGCACTGAAAAGTCTTTGGCAAGGGATTGCTCGATTTGTAATCGAAGTCCAGAGGCAGCTGCTGTTTGGCTACCTTAAATGCACCTTGGTGGCTGGCACAGCGACCACGCCCAATTTTATAGCAATTAGGCAGTTCAATCTTGCCATGGCAGTAAATCAAACGCCCATCGATTGCCGAACAGCGACTAATTTTTCGCCAAGCTGCTGTCAGGATCGTGATAAAGTGTGGGCGTGAATACCGGATGGCGATTGAGGTGATGCCGGAGTCGTTCAATAAAACCGCAAAACAATAAATTTAAATTTCTCTTGCGCGAAGTTAAACTTTTTAGCAGTGTATAAACTACAACCAACAGAGCGCAGAGCTCTGGAAAAATATGCGTTTGTATATGTGTGTGTCTGTACATGTGTGTGTGTGTGTGTGTGAGCTTGACAGTCAGGCAAATAAATGAGCGGAAACGGAAACGGTTTGGGTTGCTGTTGGGTCGGTCGCGTCTCTGTCTCGCCCTGGCTCTCCCTCTCTCTCATTCTCTCTCTCTCTTTCGCTCTCTATTTTTCTTCGGCCGCGGGCTGCACAACACTGCGAATGATAAATAACGTAATTTCTTTATAACTTTTCATTCAAATTTTCGGAATGCTTTTTGGCCACGCTTGTTGCTGGTACGCCTTTGGGCCACGTTGGTTCGTTTGGCTGCTTGTTGTTAAGTAAAATAAATTGCGATTCCATGTAATAAAAGTCAATCATAATAATTCAATGACTCATCGTGTTGTTGGCTTCGTTTCGAGGCCACAATGGTTAGCTGAAGCCATTGCCTCGCTCCACTTATCCTCGTACTTAACATCGCCTCTGTCGCCTCTGTTCCTGTTGCCAACGTGGAGTGTGCTAAGCCGAAAACATGAAACATGAGAAATTTATGTGAAGCGCAAAAAATGAAACATTTGCACACCTTGCTCTGAACCCTGTTGTACATTTAAGTAACATTAGACCATATATCGTCTGAGTATGTTCGCTGTTCGTCTAACGATCGAATTTATATCTGATTTATGACCGTTTTAGTCTTCAAATATAAATTTACGTTTACGATTCTTTTATTTATTTTTTGCAAAGCAATGCCATTTTAAGCAAATAAATCACATTTGTCATATCTAGACTGTGTTCTCTATTTTCAGCGATGCTCATGCTAACCTGAATTTTTAACAAATAAATTATGATTATTTTATTATATTTTATGTACATATAACCATATGATAAAACTACTAAATTATTATTTTTAAGCACCACAATTGAGGAATTCTTGTATACGAATATAATTTAAGCCCCTAATATGTCTCCTCCTGAACAAGCACTCACTACTAAAACCACTTTATGAGCTAAAAAGAAGTATAAAGTCCTTGGCTGCGAGTTGACTAACAACCCTCGAATATTGTTAAAGTTCTTGTGCATCTTCCACAGTTTTGCGCGAGCGGCGAAAAATTATGGAAACAAAAAAGTCCTTCGAAACACATTGTGCACCAGCTGTGCCCTGTCCTTAACTACGTACCATTAAAATAGGAGTGTGAAAAAATGCGCTGAAAATGTTGGGTAGGCATAAATTTCGGTCTACGCGTTTCTTGCCTCTGTTTGCTGCTGCTAACTTGGCCTCTGCCCCTTGGTTTGTTTCCGATTCCTTTGAGATATTAAATGAATGAATTAATCATTAACTCTGCGGTATACCCAAAAATCCTAAACAACCAGCAAAAGGCTGAAATAATCTGTACATTGCCTTTTTATAATTATAAATGTTTGGTAATTTATTAAAGAGAAGTGCAATTATGTGGTACGCTGACGCGTCGAGACATATTAATCTTCCATATAGCATACAGTATAATTTGGAAAATCCTTGCTGCAGACACTTCTTCTTTCATCAAAGTATGGATATGCTTCCGAGCACTTGATAATATTATGGGATATCTGATTATTACACTGAATATATTCGGAGCAGCCTGTGTTTATTGCGGCGACAAAGGTCGCGTTCAGATTGCCACAGCGATCGTAGGGGCAGCTATAAGACTCGGGTCTTACACACCTTTGACTCCACCACTGGAAATGTGTGCCATGTGGACAACTGCGCCATTTGCCAACAAAGTGTTTCGAGTTGCACTCGTAGTAGCCGTGGCAAGTCTCTGCATCAGAAATGAGTACAACTCCGGAATCGTTATCTGGGTAGAAGCTGGCACACACAGAGACGTGCACGGACGGAGGCGGATACTTGACGGGCTTATAGCTGCTTCCATCAGGCGGACAATATTTTGGCTGAGTTGGCTGGCACCGGTCTCTCTTATAGTTGTAATAACGGGCACCTGTGCAGGCCCGTCTAATGCCTCTTCCGCCCTCGCACTCCAGGTAGAGGCCGCAGTTCAGTGGGTCGCCAACGGTAGTGCCACTTTGCATGTAGGCACATATGGAAACAGTTTCCTGTGGACATCCGTTGCCACTTGAAACACATGTCTGCAGCCTGTTGCTAAACACAAAGCCTTCGGCACAGAAACGCTGTCCATAATTATTGCCCTCGTTATCACATTTATTGTACGTTGTGCAGTCTAACGGGTCGGCAAAGTACTCTTCACTCTGGCTCTGGGCGCAAAGCTCCCAGTACTGAGGAGCACATCGTACCAGATGGGCTTTGTCACACCTACCAGACTGTGAATCGTAATACAGATTGTTATGGCACCGTCCACGAGCCGCAAGCTTATTATTTTTGCAGTAGCCCCAGCTCTGGCAATCTCTGGGGTCACCAACGTAGCCGCTTCTGGGCCAAAAGTTGCAGAGTTGTTCCACGGACAGGCCGCACGCTTGCCACAGTTGCACAGCCAAGAAGATGGCATTTAACCACCGGCTGGAGACTAGGATAAAAGAATTTCAGTCACTTCTCTGGCCACGCAGCTCGCTTCACAATTTCTACCTTTCATACCGCTGCAACTACTCCATTCGGTATTATCAAAGCAACTAACTGAGCTGTGAGATGTGAATATTCAGACCGCGATTCACTCCCAAGAACCAATTAGTCGTAACTTGTACCCTTCAAAATTCGGGCTTCTGATAAGAGTAGCAAGAACAACAATGAAGTGCAGCATTTTTTAAGAAACTCGAAGAGCTCAATGAGAACGTAACTGAGTTTGTCTGCTGATAAGGTTTCAATTACAATCGTACTGCTTGCGACTTGTGTCTGCCCCAGCTAAATACTCGAGCATGTTCAGACATACTTATAGCCGAGCCATTTTAGTAATACTTCTGCTCACTTACCCCGACAAATCTGCATGCATGCGATATTTTAAGTGCTTATCAGATTCAAGGAGCCGTGTTATCACTAACTCAATTTCTTTACCATCTGCTTACGCTATCCATGTGACATTTTTATGTTCAGACTCCTTTCCGAACTGCACTTCAGTTTCTTACACTAAGCGAGTGGCACAAGTAACGTAATTCAAGAATACCCAAAGAGAACAACAACAAAACTGCGAAAGAGTACAAAAAAACGCAAGTTGGAGCCAGCCTGCTTAAGCTAAGGTTCGACTCGAACATACCCTGCACTCGAACAGCCATTTTAAATTTTCTAAATTTCATTTAAATGCACAAAGACGAAACCTGCTTTGGCTTTGTGGTAGGTCAGTATACCCCTTCGCTACTGGTTCACGCTGAGTATAGACTATGAGCCAGATGCAAAAGATGCTCATTCGTTTGTCTGGTTAAGAGTGTGTGTAGCTGGCGCCTTCGCCTTGCTGTCGCCGTCGTGCAGCCAATGTAAACGGCTTAGCTTCGGCCCGTTGCGTTTATTGACATTTTATGCTTAAGGACATGTTTAATATCCTCATCGCGCTTTTAATATAACCGCGAAGCAGGCGTTGCCACCATCTTACTCAACAGCTCTTCAAGGAGCTGTTCGAGCAGAAGATATTCGTTAGTTTATTGGTTGCAGGAAGCTTGATTTTTAGGGTCCATAAGATAATGCTTTTGTGAAGTCTACAAATTTAAGGAAAATAACGGACCTCGAATGTATTATTCAACTCCATTGTAAATTCACTCCTGTCTTGGGTAGCACATATCGAAGTGGCTGTTGGTGTGCGTGTGTGCGTGTTTTGAGGGAAAACAGAAACGACATAGATGTCGATGTCGATGTTGACGTCGATGGCTCGCTGCCTACGAGCAAATGCAAATGGATGGAGCTTGGGACAGTGGGCCCTTTGCTTTTACCACTTCCGCTGTACAATGCCAGCAGTCCCAACAGCGGCGCCATTTGCTTCCGTTTCCGCTTGCCGTACGACATTTATGGAGCTCATCATGCCCGGCCAACCTCTTGTCCTTTACTCTTTATTCAATCAGTGGCTGGCTGCCTTACAGCGGGGACTGACATCCTCTTCATACTGCTGCGAAATGGCAAATTGCGCGGCTGACTTTGGGCCTCGAGCTCCATGTCCTTGCCCGTCGCTGTAATGTCTGTTATGTCCACTCATCCATTCCATTCTTTTATTCCACGATGTTTCTTTTGTTGCATGCCTGCTTTTTGTGTTCTTCGCTCGGTTGCTCCTGTAATTTTTTCCACATGTTCACGGCTTGAATATTTTATGGGCTTAAGTGCTTTCAGTTAGAGTCCTTTGCATAGGTCCTGTGCGTTTTGCACCTTTCACTCTACTCCACACAAGACCTCTCAGCAAAAAAAAACATTTGATTATTTTTCTGCACGCTCGAAGATATAGACATTATTTACTGTTGCTCCAAGTAAATTGCAATGCTGAAGTAGCTCGCATAAATACCACAAGATGCTGGAATAATAAACTTTTATACGCAATTGTTTGCCATATCAAAACTGAAGTTAATTGACATCTGAGCTCTGCTTAATTATTAGGAAGTCCAAATTGATTGGCAGGCAAGTGATGTAACTTGTTATTCTGCGCCCGTGGTAAATATAATAAGAGAATATTCCAGGTAGCCTTCAAATGGTATATAGTTTCATCTCTACTTCGTCTCGACCACAGACAATTCGAAAATTAATTCAATTATTTTCTGACACTTGCGTTACAAATGAAATTTCAAGCTGTTCATAAACCAACAAACAAGACTTTATCTCTGAATCTGTCTGTCAACTTTTGATTTTGATTAAAGGGTAGCTGGAGTCGTGTAAGTGTTCCTAAAGTAAAATATATTTTTAATTAGCTAATTTAATAGACATTCACATGGACAACGATATAAACCTACGAGGGGAACATTTATTTATAGCAAGCTTATATTAATAGGATATCTCATCTCTTGCAGTCCACTGAAATGATCAGAAATAGAGAATTCGCTGTCACCTGGACCATATAAATCATTATAATTAGGATAAATATGCAATGAAAAGCTAAATGTGCCGCGCAAAGCACAAAAAGGACGGCGAACCGAGTGAACACACGTTTGACCAAGATACAGAAGCAGGAAGAGGGAAAGAGAGAGAGAGAGAGAGTGAGTAAGAGAGAGAGAAAGTCTGGCCAAGTTCGAGCTGAATGGTGCCAAGGGTCGACTAGGCGAGCACCCTCAACAGACCGAGTAAGCAATTCAAACGAGCGACGACTGTTCATAAACAGGAACGAGCTCAATGAGATGCAAAGGACGATAAACAAACCCACAAGCGCCTCGAATGTGCCGACAGTGGAATAAGGTTAAGATCCCTCCACTCGCCAACCTAAAGGACAAAGCTCAAAACGAAACGTTGCAAAAAAAGGTTGCCAAGCAGCGAGAAGAAAAATGCAAGAGCAGCCACCAAGTCATATATATTTTTTCTCTCAAAGTCAAGCTGAGAACGCCAACTAACAGAAGCCCGAAAGAAGCCACGAGTCAGAGTTTGAGTCTGGGAAAAATTATGGGAGCTTTGTCTCTGCGGTCGGGTCGGAGGCTGGAGCAGGCGTGGCACGTACTTGGAGTATTTTGGCAAAATTAAAATTTATGAACAGATAAAAACGCGTTAATGGGCACTCGGTGGGGTCAAGCACGGTGAGCGGGCACGTGGAGCTCGGAGCGGTACGTGTGTAACAGTTTGTTGAGCTTGGCAAGTGAACGCACCACGGCAAATAAATGAGACAAGACAACGTCCACAACTTGAGCTATAAACGCTGCATTTTTATTTTTCGGAACGCAACTTATATAGATGGGCAGCCAACCCACTTTCTAAGTGCCGTACTTGAGCACTCCTTACAGAGCGGGACATTAAAAGCACATGAAAATACTTTAAAGAAAATACTTTAAGTTTTTCAGCACGAACTCGATAACAAAATACTTTGGCATTCCACATAACACAGCCCGCACATGTTAACCTCAAATATTAATTTGAAACTTGAAGAATTAGCAGATGATATACTCAAAATTGATTCTGCTGAGCCTGAACTCCGTTGGGAATGCCAAAAAGGTGTTTATACTTCTGAGATACTTTTATTGCTCCTTCGTACACGACTAAGTAGATACGTGTTGAGTTGGGCCACGTGTTGTTATTTATGTTCTGCTTCCAGTTGGCCATTATCCTCTGCTAAAAATCATATTTTCGCTCTTGAAACAATGTCAAGTTGTCGAGCACAGTTTTAAGTGGGCTCTACCCGCTGTGCCACGGCCAAGCAACCCATCAGCCCAGCTGTAAAGACCAAAAGGCTGCCTAATGGTGTTTAGATGTTGTTGTTCGGCTTCGGCGCTCGTCCTTCGCAGTTGCCAGTGCCATGCACATGCACAGTGGGCATCAGGCACTCTTACAGAATGCAAATATACCCGTAAGTGGCACTGGAACTAGAACTGGAACTGGAGCTGGAGCTAGTGCTGGTACTGTTGCTGGCACTGGCCCTGAGCTCGAGTGGCAGCATAATGTGCTTAGTTGGCCCAAACGAGGCAAGCGCGTCGCCTGTGCCGTTTAATGACCTTTTAAATGTACGTCTAATTATGTTTACGTGCCGTTTCGACTGACAACCAAAAATGTTAGCACGAATGACTGAATTTTAAAGCGCATTATTTAGGTACGCTTTGGAGCTTCTGGCTGACCCAAATCCCCAGGCCAAGTCTATGTGTTGGCCTCCTCTTAATTATGTAACTTTTGGGCCACTCTTAGCGCCAGTTTGACATCTCTGCTGATGTAGGCAGCAGCGCCTAGCACATAGCGCGTTAAATTTTAATGCCAGTCCACTAAGCAACAGGCTTCTCATCACCCGACTAGTTAGTCTGCTATTTTCGAATTATGCGGTTAACATATCAACATGTGTCCAAGATGCCGAGTTCTCCAAGGATCTATGCGAATGTGAAATGAAGGATGCGTGCTGTCAGCAGGTGTGAAATAGCTATGCAAAGTTTTTGTCATTAAACAAACTTTGGAACTATTTCCCTTATATTTATCGTTTTTGGCAGCAAAGTCAAAAAGGTATTTCCCATGCCAAGGGCCATTACTCTTTACCTTCTCAGGCAACATAGCTTGGTAATATTAAATTGTAATTACAAATTCCTAAACTGAATGTCTAAGGAAATCCGAAAAGTTTCTATTCCAAAATATTGCCAAATTCAAACACTAAATTGGCTGCCCAAATAGAAGTGAAGAAGAGTTGAGTGACTTAATTATAGTTGGTGAGACGAAGAGAGTCAAGTTAAAAAGAAAGACTCAATATTTTGCTTTTCTTTACATTTTGATTATAAATTATTCAGAGTTCTTGGGATTCCCGGCCACCTTGCGATTCGCTTGACATGTATTAATATTAATTACTTCGAAGTCAGCCGCAGCTACATGCGGTTCCCTGGAAATGTTTCAAATAAATTCGCATATTGCCCCGACGTGTTAATGAACACTTGTCTGAACAGCAGCTGCGATAAGACTATCGGGTAACACAATCTTCAAATTGTGAATCCCTCAATGATATATATCTTTTTAATAACACTCGAAGAAAGCGGCAATGTCTGCGTCGATTTGGCACTGGCATCTATTCAATCGAGCTGATTACACTTATTTCACCAACTTCTCTGTTCCATTTGGCATTTAATGGAAAATAAAACGAAAGCTGCGACATAAGTGCTTTTCAGAAGTAGTTAAAACGAATGGGATATCTTTAATTTTGCGAGTGACTCAATACTTCAACAAACTTTACTTAAGCAGACACTGCTTAATGGAAACGTGAGGAGGAA